GAAACATCGGGAAATCGAAACAAAAATTTTAAGAAACCGAAAAGTCAAAAAGTCGAAACGTTTAAAAATAAAAAAAAACCTAAAGAATTTAAAAATTGAAATAACAAAAATTTGAAAAATCAAAATCGAAAAGTGGAAAGATTGAAAATTCGAGTATTGAAAATCGAAAACTCGAAAATCAAAAAATTGATAATTCAAATATAGAACAATAATAGAACTAAGAACTGAAGAATGGAAAAATTGAAAAATCGAAAATTAAAAAAATCAAAAATCGGAAATTCGATGAATCAAATGTACGACAAAAGGAAAATCCGAGAAACCGGAAAACCGAAAACTTAAAAATCCAAAAATTGAAATTCGAAAAACCGAAAAATCAAAAAATCGAAAATTAAGATTTCGAAAAATCGAAGCAATGAAATATGTATCTGTATAAAGAACGAAAAGTCGAAATATGGAAAAATAAAATCGAGAACTCGAAGTTAAAAAATTCGAACATCGGATATCGAAAATGCGAAAAAGGGAAAAATCGAAATTTCAAAAATTGAAAAATTGAAAGTCGAAAAATCGAGAAATCGGAACAGCGAAAAATTGAAAATTTGAAACAACAAAAGCAGGAGAAATCAAAAAATCAAGTGGTCGAGAATTCCACAAACCGAAAATTCTAAAATTAAAATATGGAAAAATTAAAAAATCCAGAAATGGAAAAATTCCCAAAATAGAAGTGTTCAAAAATTGAGAAATCGAAAAATTTAAAAAACTCGTAACATGAAAAAATTAAAAAAACGAAATATCGAAAAAACGAGAAATCGAAAAATCTAAATCGAACAATTGGAAAATTGAAACATCGGGAAATCGAAACAAAAAGATTAAGAAACCGAAAAGTCAAAAAGTCGAAACGTTTAAAAATAAAAAAAAACCTAAAGAATGTAAAAATTGAAATAAAAATTTGAAAAATCAAAATCGAAAAGTGGAAAGATTGAAAATTCGAGTATTGAAAATCGAAAACTCGAAAAATCAAAAAATTGAAAAGCAAAAAAATTGATAATTCAAATATAGAACAATAATAATAAAACTAAGAACTGAAGAATGGAAAAATTGAAAAATCGAAAATTAAAAAAATCAAAAATCGGAAATTCGATGAATCAAATGTACGACAAAACGAAAATCCGAGAAACCGGAAAACCGAAAACTTAAAAATCCAAAAATTGAAATTCGAAAAACCGAAAAATCAACAAATCGAAAATTAAGATTTCGAAAAATCCAAGCAATGAAATATGTATCTGTATAAAGAACGAAAAGTCGAAATATGGAAAAATAAAATCGAGAACTCGAAGTTAAAAAATTCGAACATCGGATATCGAAAATGCGACAAAGGGAAAAATCGAAATTTCAAAAATTGAAAAATTGAAAGCCGAAAAATCGAGAAATCGGAACAGCGAAAAATTGAAAATTTGAAACAATAAAAGCAGGAAAAATAAAAAAATCAAGTGATCGAGAATTCCACAAACCGAAAATTCTAAAATTAAAATATGGAAAAATTAAAAAATCCAGAAATGGAAAAATTCCCAAAATAGAAGTGTTCAATAATTGAGAAATCGAAAAATTTAAAAAACTCGTAACATGTAAAATTTAAAAAAACGAAATATCGAAAAATCTAAATCGAACAATTGGAAAATTGAAACATCGGGAAATCGAAACAAAAAGAGTAAGAAACCGAAAAATCAAAAAGTCGAAACGTTTAAAAATAAAAAAAAAACCTAAAGAATGTAAAAATTGAAATAACAAAAATTTGAAAAATCAAAATCGAAAAGTGGAAAGATTGAAAATTCGAGTATTGAAAATCGAAAACTCGAAAAATAAAAAAATTGAAAAGCAAAAAATTGATAATTCAAATATAGAACAATAATAATAAAACTAAGAACTGAAGAATGGAAAAATTGAAAAATCGAAAATTAAAAAAATCAAAAATCGGAAATTCGATGAATCAAATGTACGACAAAACGAAAATCCGAGAAACCGGAAAACGGAAAACTTAAAAATCCAAAAATTGAAGTTCGAAAAATCAAAAAATCGAAAATTAAGATTTCGAAAAATCCAAGCAATGAAATATGTATCTGTATAAAGAACGAAAAGTCGAAATATGGAAAAATAAAATCGAAAACTCGAAGTTAAAAAATTCGAACATCGGATATCGAAAATGCGAAAAAGGGAACAATCGAAATTTCAAAAATTGAAAAATTGAAAGTCGAAAAATCGAGAAATCGGAACAACGAAAAATTGAAAATTTGAAATAACAAAAGCAGGAGAAATCAAAAGATCAAGTGGTCGAGAATTCCACAAACCGAAAATTCTAAAATTAAAATATGGAAGAATTAAAAAATCCAGAAATGGAAAAATTCGCAAAATAGAAGTGTTCAAAAATTGAGAAATCGAAAAATTTAAAAAACTCGTAACATGTAAAATTTAAAAAAACGAGGAATCGAAAAATTGAAAAATTCCAAAACGGAAATGTAGAAAAATTGGGATTTCGAAAAATTGAAACACCAAAATATTGGAAAATCGAAAAACCGAAACATTGAACAATTGAAAAATAGAAACACTGAGAAATCCAAACAAAAAAATTAAGAAACCGAAAAGTCAAGAGATCGAAACGTTTAAAAATCAAGAAATCGAAAAATTGGAAGTTCCAAAATCAAAAAATAGACAAATCCTGCAGAAAGGTAAAAAATTCAAAATTGAAAAGTAAAGAAATTGAAAAACTAAAGAATGTAAAAATTGAAATAACAAAAATTTGAAAAATCAAAGATCGAAAAGTGGAAAGATTGAAAATTCTAGTAATGAATATCGAAAATTCGAAAAATCCAACAATCCAAAAATAAAAAAAATGAAAATTCGATGATGGAAAAATCATAAAGTAAAAAATTGAAGTATAAAAACGGAAGAATGAAGAAATTGAAAATAAATAAATAGTTAATTGATCATCCAACGGGCAAATCGCCCACAAGGAAAAATCGAAAATTCAAAAAAATAAAAAATCGAAAATTCGGATATCGAAAATTCAAAAATCGAAATTCCTAAAATCAAAAATTCGAAAATTGATATTTCAAAAAATTCAAGAATCGAGAAATCGAAAAGTCAAGAAGTCGAGAATTCAACAAACCGAAAAATCTAAAATTAAACTATCGAAAAATTGAAAACTTGAGAAATCGAGAAATCGAAAAATTGAAAAACCCAGAAGTCGAGAAATACAAGAATCGAAATAAAAAAAACGAAAGGCGAAATATGGAAAAATCGAGAAACTGGAAACTCAATAAGTCGAGAATTCAACAAACGGGAAATTGAAACATCTGGAAATCGAAACTTAAAAAGATCAAGAAATTGAAAAATCAAGAAGTCGACAAGTTTAAAAATCAAGAAATATAACAATCAAGAAATCGGAAGTTTGAAAATCGAAAAAAATAGATAAGTTTTCCAGAAAATCAAAAAATCTAAATTTGAGAAATCGAAAAATCGAGAACTCGGGAGATCAAAAATCGAAAAGTAAGAAAATTGAAAAATCTAAAAACTAAAGAATGTAATGATTAATGAATGATAACTCGAAGTTAAAAAAATGTAGACATCGGAAATCGAAAATGCGAAAAATGGAAAAATTGAAATTTCGAAAAATTGAAACATCAAAAGACTGAGAAATCGAAAAGTCAAGAAGTCGAGAGAGAATTGGACAAACCGAAAAAACTAAAATTAATAATCGAAAATTGCAAAATCCAAAAATGGAAAAATTCCCAAAATTGAAGTGTTGGAAAATAGAGAAAGCGAAACCTTGAAAAATCGAAAAATTAAAAAAATTGAAAACCGAAGAATTTTAAAATTGTAAAATTGTATGTAAAAGCAAAAAATTCAAAGGTCTTAAAATTGAAAAATGGAAAAATTGAAAATTCAAAAATTGGAATTTCGAAAAATCCAAGAATCGAAATATATAAAAAACGGAATATCGAAAGTCGAAAAAACGAAATTTCTAAAATCAAATCAAAAAGTCGAATTATACAAAAGTTGAAAAATTGAGAACTCGAAGTTAAAAAATTCGAATATCCAAATAGAATATACGAAAAATGAAAAAATTGAGAAATCGAAACAGCGAAAAATTAAAAAATTGAAACATCAAAAGATCGAAAAATTGAAAAGTCAAGAAATCAAGAATTCGATAAACCGAAAAATCTAAAATTAAAATAAAATTGCAGAATCCAGAAATCGAAATAGTCCAAAATGCAAAAATTAAAAATTTAAATTTGAAAAAAATCGAAAAATTGATAAAACTGAAAAAACGATTCGAATATTTTCACTTAGTTCGTCCTTAAAATTATTATATTGAGACTATACAATTTTTTTTCAAGGTCCATAACGTCAACACTAAAAATTTCTACATTGAATTACTAAATAGCATTATAACCCCGTGTGTGGATATTATGTAGAAGATATTCAAATATCAGAATTTTTGAGGTTAGCATAATCAATTTCAACAATGAAATTTGACACAAATGACTCTAGTTAGCCATGTTTTACAAAACTTTTCTATGACTCTTCATCTAAGACATACGGATTCAATTCCAAGCGTGCCTCGATTAGAAATTATGTTGCTCGCTCGATATGTATTATACTTATTTTAATTCGGTCTTTCCTTTTTCTGTATATAATTTTACGTCACTTCAGTATATTTATTTCCGCCAACTTTAATAATGGTAATAACACGGTTACAAACTTTTTATAGGAAGAATTGTGCTGTAACATGAATTTAATTCATTCTCTGACGTATTTAGAGAAAAAGTGAACAAAAAAACGGTCGGTTCGGTATATTTCTGGTCGACCATGACATACTTGAGTCGTAATTATCTTGTCGAAAATGAAGTGACGTAAAACACATTAACGAAATAATCATTTTCGGTGCGTTACTTAAATTGCAAATTAATTAATTTTTATTTTTTTACTGAAAACACGTTTTCCAGGCCAGCTGATCCTCTCCACCAACAACGAAATCATCCTAAAAGACGTTCCAATAGTGACCCCCAACTGTGATGTAGTGTGTCCATCTCTCAGTCTAGAGCTGAAGCCAGGCCAGCACTTGCTCATAACCGGGCCCAACGGCTGCGGCAAATCGAGCTTATTCCGTATACTTAGCGGCTTGTGGCCGATCTACGGCGGCGAGCTGCACAGCCCCAAGAATTCCATGTTCTATATACCTCAGAGACCCTACATGGTCATAGGGAACTTGCGAGACCAAGTTATATACCCGGACACGGCGACCGACATGATCAACAAGCAGGTGACGGAAGAAGACCTGATGAAGATCATGAGGCTGGTGCACCTGGAGCACATCGTCGAGAGGGACACATTCCACCAGGTTAAGGATTGGACGGATATTTTGTCCGGGGGCGAGAAGCAGAGGATGGCGATTGCGAGGCTGTTTTATCACAAGTAAGTAAAGATCAGTTTCGCTCGGTTTTCTTCCCGTTTTAGTTCCCGAGTGTTAGCTAAGGAAACTTAAAATTTTTCATTTATTCGATTTTTCAGTGTTCTAGTTTTTCGATTCATTACCATCTTTCGATTTTTAAGTTTCTCGATTTTTGGCTTTTTCGTTTCATCAATTTTTCAAGTTCTTGATTTTTTTTGCAGTTTCCCGATTTTCTAATTTTCAATGTTAAGATTTTTCAGTTCCTTGCTTTTCCAATTTTTAAATTTTTCAAATATGCAATTTTTGGATTTCCAGTTACACGATTTTCCGATTTCTTTAATGTCTAATATTTCGATTTTTAATACATATTTGTTTTTTTTTTGGTTTTGCAATTTTACGATTTTCAAGTTTCGCAAATTTAATCTTTCGATTTTAGAATTTTTTTTGTTTTCAATTTTTCTAGTTCTTGATTTCCAAGTTTTAGAATTTTCAGGGTTTTCATCTTGTTTTACATGTTCGGTTTGTTTTTAATTTTTCCATTTTTTTTTATTCGAAAAGTTAAAAAATTGCAAAATCGAAAAATTGAAATACTGAAAAACTAAAAATCGAGAAACTTAAAAATCGAAAGATGGTAATGAATCGAAAAACTGGAACACTGAAAAATCGAATAAATGAAAAATTTTTAGAATCCAATAATTCAAAAATGGAAAAATTTTAAAATGTAAAATTGAAAAAGTGAACAGTTTTTAAATTATAGTTATTATTACACATTTAAAATGAAAACTAGAAAAAAAATGAAGAAACGAACACTTTATGGGTGAGGGAAGTTCTGTCGAACTGTTCTTCGACCAATTTTTTTAATTTCTCAATTTTTCATTTTTACGTTTCCTCAATTTTTCAAGTTCTTGATTTTTTTACATTTTCCCGATTTTTTAATTTTCATTTTCTCAATTTTATACAGAATTTTTCGTTTTTTATTTTTTTTATTTTTTTAACGTTTCTTTCGATCTTATAATTTTTCGTTTATTCAGTTTTTCAAATTTTTTAGTGTTAAGATGTTCCAAGTTTTTTGGTGTTTCGATTTTACAATTTCTCGATTTCCCAATTTTTCTTCATTTCCGTTTTGGAGTTTTTCAATTTTTCGATTTTTAAATTTAATTTTTCGATTTCTCGTTTTTTCGATTCTTCCTTTTTCCAATTTTTTAATTTTTTGATATTTTTCGTTTTTTCGAATTTTCCAGTTCTCACCTTGTTTGTCGGTTTTTCAATTAAAATTTTTCGATTTCTCGATTTTTCAAGTTTTCAATTTCTCAATTTTTCAACACTTCAATTTTGGGAATTTTTCCACATTTGGGGATTTTTCGATATTTCAATTTTAGATTTTTCGGTTTGTCGAATTCTCGACTTCTTGACTTTTCGATTTCCCGTTCTTTTTATGTTTAAATTTTTCAATTTTTCGCCGTTTCGATTGCTTCATTTTTCGACGTTTCAGCATTTCAATTTTTCAAATTTTCACTTTTCGAAATTTCTGTTTTTCATTTTTCGCAATTTCTATTTCCGATGTTCATATTTTTTTTTTCGAGTTCTCGATTTGTCAATTTTTCCATATTTCGACTTTTTGATTTGATTTTAGAATATTCGTTTTTCGACTTTCGATTGTTCATTTTTTGTATATTTCGATATCTCAATTTTTTATTTTTCGGTGCTTCGAATTTCGATTTTTGGATTTTCGAATTTTCGGTTTTCCGGTGTCTCAGATTTTCGTTATTTCGAACATTTTATCAAAATTTCGATTTTTAGATATTCGAATTTTGGATTTTTTAAAGTTTTGATTTTCCGATTTTTTCCATCGATACTCGGATTTTCAATATTTATACTTTTTTCAAATTTTTGATAATTCAATTTCACATTCTTTAGTTTTTAAACTTTTCAGTTTTTTCACTTTTAGATTTTTTGATCTCTCGAGTTCCGATTTTTCGTTTCCAATTTTAGATTGTTTGACTTTCTGGAAGATTTATTTATTTTTTCGATTTTCGAACTTTGGATTTCTCGATTTTCCAGTTTTTCTACATTTTCGTTTTGGGATTTTTCCGTTTTTTCGAGTTTCGATATTTCGTTTTTTATATACATATTTCGATTCTTGGATTTTTCTAAATTTCAACTTTCGAAATTTGATTTTCCGATATTCGAATTTTTAGTTTTTTAATTTTTGAGTTTTAGATACTCGAATTTCCAATCTTTCTACTTTTTGATTTATCAATTTTTATATTCTTCAGTTTTTAGATTTTTAAATTTTTTACTTTTCCATTTTTTGATCTCTGGAGATCTCGATTTCTTAATTTTTTCATTTCTGGATTTTTAAATTTTCGATATTTTAATTTAAATTTATCTCGACTTCTTGACTTTTCAATCTTTTGATGTTCCAATTTTTCAATTTTCGCTCTTTGGATTTCTTGATTTAAAAAGCTAAAAAGTCGTAGCTTTTTAAATTTGTCCAATTTTCAATATTCGAATTTTTTTAACTTTGAGTTCTCGATTTTCCAATTTTTCCATATTTCGACCTTTCGATTTGATTTAAGAATTTTCGTTTTTTCGAGTTTCGATATTTCGTTTTTTGTTTTCTTCGATTTCCGAATTCGATTCGATTTCGAATTTTTGATTTTTCGGTTTTTCGAATTTTAGATTTTATCACATTCTGGAAGATTTATCTATTTTTTCGATTTTCGAATTTTCGATTTTTTTAAAGAAATAGAAAATTCCCAAAATTGAGGAGTTGAAAAATAGAGAAATCGAAAACTTGAAAAATCGGGAAATTGAAAAATTTTAAACATTGAAAAACCGAGAAGTCGGCTTATGGAAAATTCGAATAAATGAAAAAGTTTTAATATGCAATAATTGAAAAATGGAAAAATTCCAAAGTCGTAACATCGAAAAAGTGAAATATTTTAGAAATCAATTTTCCGATTTTAATTATTTTTAATTTTTATCAATTTTTCGAATCTTTAATTTTTCAGTTTTTTAAATTTCAGATTTTTCGATTTCTCGATTTTTCAAGCTTTCAACACTTCAATTTTGGGAATTTTTCCACATTTCTGGATTTTTCGATATTTCAATTTTGGATTTTTCGATTTGTCGAATTCTCCACTTCTTGACTTTTCGATTTCTCGTTCTTTTTATGTTTCAATTTTTCAATTTTTCGCCGTTTCGATTGCTCCATTTTTGGACGTTTCAGTATTTCAATTTTTCAAATTTTCACTTTTCGAAATTTCGATGTTCAGATTTTTTTTATCTTCGAGTTCTCGATTTGTCAATTTTTCCACATTTCGACCTCTTGATTTGATTTTAGAATATTCGTTTTTCTACTTTCGATTGTTCATTTTTTATACATTTCGATTATTGTATTTTTCGAAACCTCAATTTTTGAATTTTTTATTTTTCGGTGATTCGAATTCCGATTTTTGGATCTTCGAATTTTCGGTTTTCCGGTGTCTCAGATTTTCGTTATTTCGAACATTTATTCAAAATTTCGATTTTTAGATATTCGAATTTTGGATTTTTTGAAGTTTTCATTTTCCAATTTTTCCATCGATACTCGGATTTTCAGTGTTTCTACTTTTTTCAAATTTTTGATCATTCAATTTTTACATTCTTTAGTTTTTAAACTTTCCAGATTTTTCACTTTTAGATTTTTTGGTCTTTCGAGTTCCGATTTTTCGTTTCCAATTTTAGATTTTTTGACTTCCTGGAAGATTTATCAATTTTTTCGATTTTCGAACTTTGGATTTCTCGATTTTTCGATTTTCCAGTTTTTCTACATTTTCGTTTTGGGATTTTTCCGTTTTTTCGAGTTCCGATATTTCGTTTTTTATATACATATTTCGATTCTTGGATTTTTCTAATCTCAACTTTCGAAATTTTGACTTTCCGATATTTGAATTTTTAGTTTTTTAATTTTTGAGTTTTAGATACTCGAATTTTCAATATTTCTACTTTTTGATTTATCAGTTTTTATATTCTTCAGTTTTTAGATTTTTAAATTTTTTACTTTTCCGTTTTTTTATCTCTCGAGATCTCGATTTCTTAATTTTTTCATTTCTGGATTTTTCAATTTTCGATATTTTAATTTAAATTTTTCTCGACTTCTTGACTTTTCAATCTTTTGATGTTTCAATTTTTCAATTTTCGCTCTTTGGATTTCTTGATTTAAAAAGCTAAAAAGTCGTAGCTTTTTAAATTTGTCAAATTTTCAATATTCGAATTTTTTTAACTTTGAGTTCTCAATTTTTCCATATTTCGACTTTTCAATTTGATTTTAGAATTTACGTTTTTTCGAGTTTCGATATTTCATTTTTTGTTTTCTTCGATTTCCGAATTCGATTCGATTTCGAATTTTTGATTTTTCGGTTTTTCGAATTTTTGATTTTATCACATTCTGGAAGATTTATCTATTTTTTCGATTTTCGAATTTTCGATTTTTTTAAAGAAATAGAAAATTCCCAAAATTGAGGAGTTGAAAAATAGAGAAATCGAAAATTTGAAAAATCGGGAAATTGAAAAATTTTAAACATTGAAAAACCGAGAAGTCGGCTTATGGAAAATTCGGATAAATGAAAAAGTTTTAATATGTAATAATTGAAAAATGGAAAAATTCCAAAGTCGTAACATCGAAAAAGTGAAATATTTTAGAAATCAATTTTCCGATTTTAATTGTTTTTAATTTTTATCAATTTTTCGGATCTTTAATTTTTCAGTTTTTTAAATTTCAGATTTTTCGATTTCTCGATTTTTCAAGTTTTCAATTTCTCAATTTTTCAACACTTCAATTTTGGGAATTTTTTCACATTTCTGGATTTTTCGATATTTCAATTTTAGATTTTTCGGTTTGTCAAATTCTCGAGTTCTTGACTTTTCGATTTCCCGTTCATTTTATGTTTCAATTTTTCAATTTTTCGCCGTTTCGATTGCGCCATTTTTGGACGTTTCAGCATTTCAATTTTTCAAATTTTCACTTTTCGAAATTTCGATGTTCGGATTTTTTTATCTTCGAGTTCTCGATTTGTCAATTTTTCCATATTTCGACTTCTTGATTTGATTTTAGAATATTCGTTTTTCGACTTTCGATTGTTCATTTTTTATACATTTCGATTATTCGATTTTTCGAAACTTCAATTTTTGAATTTTTTATTTTTCCGTGATTCGAATTCCGATTTTTGGATCTTCGAATTTTCGGTTTTCCGGTGTCTCAGATTTTCGTTATTTTGAACATTTATTCAAAATTTCTATTTTTAGATATTCGAATTTTGGATTTTTTGAAGTTTTGATTTTCCAATTTTTCCATCGATACTCGGATTTTTAATATTTCTACTTTTTTCAAATTTTGATAATTCAATTTTTACATTCTGTAGTTTTTAAACTTTCCAGTTTTTTCACCTTTAGATTTTTTGGTCTCTCAAGTTCCGATTTTTCGTTTCCAATTTTAGATTTTTTGACTTTCTGGAAGATTTATTTATTTTTTCGATTTTCGAACTTTGGATTTCTCGATTTTTCGATTTTCCAATTTTTCTACATTTTCGTTTTGGGATTTTTCCGTTTTTTCGAGTTTCGATATTTCGTTTTTTATATACATATTTCGATTCTTGGATTTTTCTAAATCTCAACTTTCGAAATTTTGATTTTCCGATATTCGAATTTTTAGTTTTTTAATTTTTGAGTTTTAGATACTCGAATTTTCAATCTTTCTACGTTTTGATTTGTCAATTTTTATATTCTTCAGTTTTTAGATTTTTAAATTTTTTACTTTTCCATTTTTTGATCTCTCGAGATCTCGATTTCTTAATTTTTTCATTTCTGGATTTTTCAATTTTCGATATTTTAATTTAAATTTTTCCCGACTTCTTGACTTTTTAATCTTTTGATGTTTCAATTTTTCAATTTTCGCTCTTTGGATTTCTTGATTTAAAAAGCTAAAAAGTCGTAGCTTTTTAAATTTGTCAAATTTTCAATATTCGAATTTTTTTAACTTTGAGTTCTTAATTTTTCAATTTTTCCATATTTCACCTTTTCAATTTGATTTTAGAATTTACGTTTTTTCGAGTTTCGATATTTCGTTTTTTATGTTTTCTTCGATTTCCGATCGAAATCTCAGTTTTTGAATTTTTGATTTTTCGGTTTTTCGAATTTTAGATTTTATCACATTCTGGAAGATTTATCTATTTTTTCGATTTTCGAATTTTCGATTTTTTTAAAGAAATAGAAAATTCCCAAAATTGAGGAGTTGAAAAATAGAGAAATCGAAAACTTGAAAAATCGGGAAATTGAAAAATTTTAAACATTGAAAAACCGAGAAGTCGGCTTATGGAAAATTCGAATAAATGAAAAAGTTTTAATATGTAATAATTGAAAAATGGAAAAATTCCAAAGTCGTAACATCGAAAAAGTGAAATATTTTAGAAATCAATTTTCCGATTTTAATTGTTTTTAATTTTTATCAATTTTTCGAATCTTTAATTTTTCAGTTTTTTAAATTTCAGATTTTTCGATTTCTCGATTTTTCAAGTTTTCAATTTTTCAACACTTCAATTTTGGGAATTTTTCCACATTTCTGGATTTTTAGATATTTTAATTTTAGATTTTTCGGTTTGTCGAATTTTCGACTTCTTGACTTTTCGATTTCCCGTTCCTTTTATGTTTCAATTTTTCAATTTTTCGCCGTTTCGATTGCTCCATTTTTCGACGTTTCAGCATTTCAGTTTTCGAAATTTCGATGTTCCGATTTTTTTTATCTTCGAGTTCTCGATTTGTCAATTTTTCCATATTTCGACTTCTTGATTTGATTTTAGAATATTCGTTTTTCGACTTTCGATTGTTCATTTTTTATACATTTTGATTATTGTATTTTTCGAAACCTCAATTTTTGAATTTTTTATTTTTCGGTGATTCGAATTTCGATTTTTGGATTTTCGAATTTTCGGTGTCTTAGATTTTTTTTATTTCGAACATTTATTTCATCGAATTTTCAATTTTTAGATATTCGAATTTTGGATTTTTTGAAGTTTTGATTTTCCAATTTTTCCATCGATACTCGGATTTTCAATATTTCTACCTTTTTCAAAATTTTGATAATTCAATTTTTATATTCTTTAGTTTTTTTAAACTTTCCAGTTTTTTCACTTTTAGATATTTTGATCTCGCGAGTTCCGATTTTTCGTTTCCAATTTTAGATTTTTTGATTTTCTGGAAGATTTATCTATTTTTTCGAATTTCGAACTTTCGATTTCTCGATCTTTACATATCTTGATTTTTAAAGTTCTCGACTTCCTGACTTTTCGGTTTCAATTTTCAAATTATTCAATGTTCCAATTTTTCGATTTTCCAAGATTTTGGTGTTTCAATTTTTCGATTTACCAATTTTTCTACATTTCCGTTTTGGGATTTTTCCGTTTTTTCGACTTTCGATATTTCGTTTTTTATACATTTCGATTCTTGGATTTTTCGAAATCTCAACTTTCGAAATTTTGATTTTCCGATATTCGAATTTTTAGTTTTTTGAGTTTTCGAAACTCGAACTTTCAATCTTTCTACTTTTCGATTTTTGATTTATCAATTTTTGTATTCTTCAGTTTTTAGACTTAAATTTTTTAATATTTCAATTTTTCGATTTTTCAAGTTTTCGATTTCTTAATTTTTTAACACTTCAATTTTGGGAATTTTTCATTTCTGGATTTTTCAATTATCGGTATTTTAATTTAAATTTTTGGGTTTAGCAAATTCTTGACTTCTTCACTTTTCAATATTTTGATGTTTCAATTTTTCAATTTACGCTCTTTGGGTTTCTTGATTTAAAAGCTAAAAAGTCGTAGCTTTTTAAATTTTTCAAATTTTCAATTTTCGAATTTTTTTAACTTTGGTTCTCGATTTTCCAATTATTCCATATTTCGACTTTTCGATTTGATTTTAGAATTTTCGTTTATTTCGTTTTTTATATATTTTTTCTCGGATTTTTCGAATTTTTTATATTTCGGTTTTTCGAATTTGAGATTTTAGATTTTATCACTTTCTGGAAGATATATCTATGTTTTCGATTTTTCGAAAGAAATATAAAATTCCCAAAATTGAGGGGTTGAAAAGTAGAGAAATCGAAAACTTGAAAAATCGGGAAATTGAAAAATTTTAAACATTGCAAAACCGAGAAGTCGGCTTCATGGAAAAATTCCAAAGTCGTAACATTGAAAAAGTGAAATATTTTAAAAATCAATTTTCCAATTTTTAATTTTTATTTTTATCAATTCTTCGATTGTATAATTTTTCAATTTTTTAAATTTCAGATTTTTCGATTTCTCGTCTTATCAGTTTTTTAATTTTTAGTTTTTTCGATTGCTGGAGGTCGATTTCTCGATTTTTCAATTTTAATTTCTCAATTTTTAAAAATTTTAATTTTTTGATGTTCCGATTTCTCCATTGTTCAATTTCTCGACTTTCCAATTTTAAAATTTTTGGGTTTCCAGTTATACGATTTTCCGATTTCTTAAATGTTCAATATTTCGATTTTTCAATACATATTTGGTCTTTTTTATTTTGCATATTTACGATTTTCAAGTTTCGCAATTTTAATCTTTCGATTTTTGAATTTTTCGTTTTTCAGTTTTCAAGTTCTTGATTTCCAAGTTTTAGAATTTTCAGGGTTTTCATTTTACGCATTTTCGGTTTTTTATTTTTAAAATTGAACCACTGAAAAACTAAAATCGAGAAACTTAAAAAAATTTCACCACGTCAAATAAAAGTACAAAACTACACAAATATAAAAACATTTATACATTTAAAACAAAATCAGAACCTTGAAAACCCGATAAAAAAATAAAAAACCGAAACGAAAAATTGAAGGCATGAAAGTTGAAAAATCGAAAAAATTAAAAACTGAAAACTCGTCAAATTTTTTAGGTTCCCATTTTAAAAAAATGTAACCTCGACCTTCGTAAAATTTAATTATGCCAATAAGCCTGTGTTAATTCCAGACCCAAATACGCCCTTCTCGACGAGTGCACCTCGGCTGTGTCCATCGACGTGGAAAGCTTCATCTACCAAACGGCCATCGACATGGGTATCACCCTCCTAACAATCACCCATCGGCCAACTTTATGGTAAGACCTCACCCCGACTTTCCCTCGCAATACCCATCATTTTACGAAATTTATAGGAAATTCCACACACATATCCTCCAATTCGACGGCGCAGGCTCGTGGAAATTCGACCAATTGAATGCCAGCAACCGCCTCAGCTTGAAGAAAGAAAAGGAGGAACTGTTGAAGAAAGCCAGCACTGAAGACACAGTTCGCAGACTGAATGAACTGAACAAACTTCTAGGAGAAGATAATAATTGAGATTTAACATAATTACATAATTTATGTGTATGTACTGTTTTTATTTAAAGATTATGTGAGGTTATGTGGTATTGACTACCGAGTGATGTAGACGTAATTAAATATAAAGTATAGTCGGAGGACGGAGTTTTATTTCGTCAAGATTAAAAATGAAGGGTTGGTTGTAACAAATAAATGTGTAATAAATTTATCAAAAAATGACGTTTACTATAAAAGAAATATAAAGATTTTCCTTAAAGCACTCAATTTTCGTTTAACCCCTGCTGGACGCTCTCTGGCACGACTTTGGCCACTTTTCTCGCCTCCTTGACGAAAGTCTTTGAACACTGCATTTCAGTCCAACTTATGGGGACCATCAAGTGTCCATGTTCTGAGTGCGCCGTCACCACCCCCAGTTCGTTCTCGGCTGTAGACAACTGATAAGTGTGTGCCTCCGTGATTGGTAACACCCTGGCCAAAATCACATCCCCTGGCCTGAAACTCTTATAAATCTCGACCCTGTCTTTTTCAGTGACCCGGACGTCTTCACGCCTCAGGATCCCTCTATAGTGGCGTCCCAGGACCTTGTCACCGATGCACTTGATATGGCACTTGCAGAATTGTTGGGTTATGGTGTGAATTTGAGCCGTGACGATGTCCCCTTGAGAGGGCACAAGAGTTTGTTTGCCGGAGGTGTGCACTTCGATGATTTTAACGTTGTCTTTGTCTACAATGTCGACGGTCCCGGCGAGGGTGGAGTAGATGTAGCCCTGGCGCTCGTAGGTGCCCTGGCCGGACACGTGAGTGTGGTCAGAGAGGCAGAGTCTTTGTCCTGGAGGAACATTAACATTTAGTTTTGTAACATATTCAAAATTTTTGTGGATTATAAACACGTACGACGTTCTCACCTGGCAAACACACTAGAAGATCTTCCGAAGACATCACTACTTTTCACGATATTTTTATTTTTTGGTCGAAAAACATTACATAAAGTGAGGTTAGGTTGACCAAAACGTGAAAAAAACTACGATTTGACACTCAGCATAACCAACTGCTTTTCACCTAGAGCGAAAAACACCATTTCAGCAGTATTTAAAATGAAAGAAACGCAGAATTCAGACGGATTTGAACACCAGGCACCCAAACAAGAGTCACCGGTTTTAAACTATCAAGAAAAGTGGTAGTTTAGTGATGTTTGTTGATAATTTTGTTGTCATTTCAAATCTCCCGCGTCACAGACTCTTAGTTCCAAAGCGAAATCCCCTATACACAAAAAATTACAGTGACGACGCCATTTTCGTTTGTTATACGCAATAAATCACACCAGTGCATAAACCCGTTCGTTTTTCATCAACCACGAAGAAAAATTTCAGTTAAAACAAGGTAAACCGTCCTTCCACCCTCCCTCTACCCTCTCCCCACAAAATCCCGCGGTTTCCTCCCACGAAGCCCCTTTTTTCCGTCTTCGAATTTTGACATTGATAATCAGCTGACACTCTTTGTGGACAGTCCGTTCAGATGATTCATTAATGTTATCATAAATAGTCATGATCCAAGCTGTGAAGCCCCGTCTCTCCAGTATTGATTTTCCCAAATTCGATTAATCGTGTCTGTTTGCAGATGGCGAGTCGTAAAAAAGTTCTTCTCAAAGTGATCATTCTGGGTGATTCTAGTGTGGGTAAAACATCCTTGATGAACCAGTATGTGAATCGGAAATTTTCGAACCAGTACAAGGCGACAATCGGTGCTGACTTTTTAACGAAGGAGGTTACAGTGGACGATCGGTCGGTCACCATGCAGATTTGGGACACGGCTGGACAGGAGAGGTTTCAGTCGCTCGGAGTGGCGTTTTATAGGGGGGCGGATTGCTGCGTGCTGGGTAAGAGATTGTGATTTAATTTGGTAATTGTGGGTAATTGCATAATTGCGTTGGTGTGGAGACAAAGGGAACAATGGATTGGAATGTGTTGTTATCTCAGTAAGAGTGAACAACTTGGTAGTTTATGCTTACTTGAAATTGAAACGTTTTTTCGCCAAATTTATTAGTGTAATTATTCAATGTTATTTAGTAAAAATTAGATTTTTAATTTTAGTTTTTTGTTAACTCACAAAAAACAACTTCAAAAATTGGTCCAAGACAATTTTATGAAAATAATAAACTTTATTAACGGACTACGCCTTTTATATAAATACAAAAACATTCATTATATTAAACATAAATATATATACAATAAAAAATCATAACCCTAAAGCAGATTTACATTTACAATTAAAGGAATTAGAAAAATACCTATAAAATCTACTCATGATAGAGAATTTACAAGTCCTGATATCCTGGTGACAAGAATTTTTTCCGTAATTTTTTGAGAGAACTTTTCTCGGCCCAACAAATTCCGCAATAAATAATAACTAGATATATTTAAAGCTGACAATCAACGGGTAAAAATGTTTTTCGAAGAATTAAAAAATCAAAATGTCGATAGATCGAACAATCGAAAAGTTGAAACATCGCAATATCTGTAAATCGAAAAACTGAGAAATCAAAACATTTTAAAAATAAAAAAGTTGTAAAATTGAAAAACAGATGTCAAGAAATTGAATTAAGCAATCGTTAAATCGAAAAATGTAAAATTCAAACAATAAAAAAAAGGGAGAAATATAAAAAATATAAGTTAAAAAAATTGAAAATTAAAATATCGAAAAATTGAAAAATCAGAAAATTGGAACATTGGAAAATCTGGAAGTTGAAGAACCAAAAAATTGAAAAACTGGCACATCAAGAAATGAAACATCAAAAGAAGTTACGAATTGAAAAATTACAAATTAAAAAGTGAGAACCTGAAACTGATCAATCTAAAAATGGAAACATCGAAGTCTTTAAATCAAGAAATCGAAAAATTGTAAAATCGAGAAATCGAAACATGAAAAAATTAAAAAAGAAAAACTCGAAAAATTTAAAAACCGAGAAATCGAAAAGTCCAAAATTTAAAAAATCGGAACATTGGAAAATCGAAAAGCCGAAAAATCGGGAAATCGAAAAAATCGAAACATTAAAGAACTGAAAAATGGATAATTCCAGAAGTCGAAAAGTCGAAAAAAGAAATTGAAAAATTTTAAATTTAAAACATTGAAAAATTAAAATATCCAAAAACTGATAAATTGAGAAATCACAGACATCAAAAAATGGAAAAATCGAAAAATGGAGAAATCGAAATAACCCAAAATCGAAAAGTTAAAAATTGAGAAATTTGAAAATTTATAAAAAAAAAATGAAAAGTCGAGAAATCGAAATCTATAAATCGAGAAATCGAAAAATTGAAAAATCTAAAACCGAGAAGTCGGAAGATCGCGAAATAGAAATATCCAAATACTGAAAAATTCAGAAATCAAAAAAACAAAATTTTTAATAACTGAGAAATTAAAATATCGAAAATTCGAGAAATCGACGTCAAGAAATCGAAAAACCGAAATGCCAAGAAACCTAATCAAAAAATCGAAAAATGAAAAATTAAGAAACTGAAAATATGAGAAATCGAAAAATCTGAAATTTAAAAAAAATAAAAATTCAAGATTCGAAAAATTGATAAAATTTAAAAAATTAAAAATCGCAAAACTGAGACATCGAAAAATCTGAAATTAAAAAAATTGAAAAATTTAAGAATCGAAAAATTGATGAAAATTTAGAAAATTAAACATTTAAAAAAAGTGGCCAAAATCGAACAGTTCAAAATTCAAAACGAGAAACTGATCAATCTAAAAAGCGAAACATCGAAATCTACAAATCGAGAAATCGAAAAATTGTAAAATTGAGAAATCGGAACTTGGAAAAATTGAAAAATTTAACCGAGAAATCGAAAAATTCAAAATTTAGGAAATGGGAAAATTAAAGTACTGAACTACAAATCCGAAAAATTGAAAAATTCCATAACTGAAAGGAAAGTTTGGGAAATTTAAAATTTAAAAAATCGGTACATCGAAAAATTGGAAAATCGAAAATTTGGAAACGTCAAAAATTGAAAAATCGAAAAATTAAAAAATCGATAAATCGAAATATGAGGAAGTCGAAAACTAAAAAAATGAAATATTGAAGAACTGAAAAAACAAAAATCAAGCAATTGAAAAATTTTAAATTTACAAAATATCGAAAAATTGAAAAATCGAGAAATCGGGACATCGAAAAATGGAAAAATTGAAAAAATCGAAAAATTTAAAAACCGAGAAATCGAAAAATCCAAAATTTAAAATGTTGAAAACTCGGAACATCGAAAAATTGAATAACTGAAAAATCAAGAAACGAAACATCGATCGAGAAATCGAGAAGTTAAAAAATGGAAAAATTGAGAAATCGAAATGACCCAAAATCGAAAAGTGAAAAATTGAAAAAATAATTGAAAAGTCGAGAGATTGAACAACCGAGAAATCGAAATCCATAAATCAAGAAATCGAAAAATTGAAAAATCTAAAACCGAGAAGTCGGAAGATCGAGAAAACCAAACAACAAAAAATTGAGAAACTAAAGAATCGAGAAATTGATTAAAATAAAAAATCGGAAAATAGAAAAATCAAAATGTCGATAGATCGAACAATCGAAAAGTTGAAACATCGGAATATCTGTAAATCGAGAAACTGAGAAATCAAAACATTTTAAAAATAAAAAAATTGTACAATCGAAAAACAGATGTCACGAAATCGAATTAAGCAATGGTTAAATCGAAAAATGTAAAATTCAAAAAATAAAAAAAGCGAGAAATCGGAAAATATAAGTTAAAAAAATTGAAAATTAAAATATCGAAAAATTGAAAAATCAGAAAATTGGAACATTGAAAAATCGGGAAGTTGAAGAACTGAAAAATTGAAAAACTGGCACATCAAGAAATAAAACATCAAAAGAAGTTAAAAATTGAAAAATTACAAATTAAAAAGTGAAAACGAGAAACTGATCAATCTAAAAATCGAAACATCAAAGTCTTTAAAGCGAAAAATCGAAAAATTGAAAAATTGAGAAATCGAAACAATGAAAAATTAAAAAAAAAAACTCGAAAAATTTAAAAACCGAGAAATCGAAAAATCCAAAATTTAAAAAATCGGAACATTGGAAAATCGAAAAGCCGAAAAATCTGGAAATCGAAAAAATCGAAACATTAAAGAACTGAAAAATAGAGAATTGCAGAAGTCGAAAAGTCAAAAAACAAAAAATTAAGAAATTGAAAAATTTTAAATTTAAAACATTGAAAAATTAAAATATCGAAAAACTGATAAATGGAGAAATGCAGACATCAAAAAATGGAACAATTGAAAAAAATGAAAAATTGAGAAATCGAAATAACCCAAAATCGAAAAGTTAAAAATTGAGAAATTCGAAAATTAAAAAAAAAATTTGAAAAGTCGAGAAATCGAAATCTATAAATCGAGAAATCGAAAAATTGAAAAATCTAAAACCGAGAAGTCGGAAGATTGCGAAATCGAAACATCCAAAAACTGAAAATCCAGAAATCAAAAAAACAAAATTTTTAAAAATTGAGAAATTAAGGTATCGAGAACTCGACGTCAAGAAACCGAAAAACAAGATGCCAAGAAAACTAATCACAAAAGCAAAAAATTAAAAATTAAAAGAATGAAAAGACGAGAAATCGAAAAATATGAAATTTAAAAAATCAAAAATTAAAAAAAAAATTGGCCAAAATCGAAAAGTTCAAAATTGAAAACGAGAAACTGATCAATCTAAAAAGCGAAACATCGAAATCTATAAATCGAGAAATGGAAAAATTGTAAAATTGAGAAATCGGTACTTGGAAAAATTTAACCGAGAAATCGAAACATTCTAAATTGGGAAAATTAAAGTACTGAAGAATTAAAGATCCGAAAAATTGAAAAATTCCATAATTGAAAGGAAAGTTTGGGGAATCTAAAATTTAAAAAATCGGTACATCGAAAAATTGGAAAATCGAAAAGTTGAAAAACCAAATCATTAAAGAACTGAAAAATAGAGAATTCGAGAAGTCGAAAAATCGAAAAGTCGAAAAAACAAAAAATTGATTAATCGAGAAATTGAGAAACGTCAAAAATTGAAAAATCGAAAACTGATAAATCGAAAAATTAAAAAATCGAGAAATCGAAATATCAACAAGTCGAAAACTAAAAAGCTAAAATATTGAAGAACTGAAAAAACAAAAATCAAGCAGTTGAAAAATCGGGAAATCGGGACATCAAAAAATGGAAAAATTGAAAAAATCAAGAAACGAAACATCGATCGAGAAATCAAGAAATTGAAAAATCGAAAAATTGAGAAATCGAAATAACCCAAAATCTAAAAGTGAAAAATTGAAAAAATAATTGAAAAGTCGACAGATTGAACAACCGAGAAATCGAAATCCATAAATCAAGAAATCGAAAAATTGAAAAATCTAAAACCGAGAAGTCGGAAGATCGAGAAAACCAAACAACAAAAAAATTGAGAAATTAAAGAATCGAGAAATTGATTAAAATAAAAAAAAAATCGGAAAATTCAATAATTGACAAGCGGAAAAGTCGAAAAATCGAAAACCGCGAAATCGGAAAATTGAAGAATCGACAAATCGAAAAATTCCAAAACCGAAATTACCAAAAATTGGAAAAAAGAAAAATTGAAAAATTCCAAAATTGAAATATCGAAAAATGAAAAAATCGAGAAATTGGAAATTTGAAGAATCGAGAAATTGAAAAATCCCAACACTGAGTTGACGAAAAATAGAAAACTGACATAATAGCAAAATTGAAAAATCGAGAAATCGACGTCAAGAAATCCAAAAAACCGAGATACCAAGAAAGTAATCAAAAAATCTAAAAATAAAAAATTAAGAAACTGAAAAGATGAGAAATCGAAAAATCTGAAATTTAAAA